ATTCATAATATAAGGAGAAATTTAAGCATTATGAAGAACACATTTATATTCCCTAAGAGCCCTAGCACTTCTCATAATTAATCCCGACTTTACATTTGGGTCATAAATAGATCTGTATTTCTCTTGGCCAGGACTGAGGATGTCGTGGCAGCACTGTTAAGAAAAACTAAGAAAATTAGTACTTTTGAATAAATTGCCTTGTTTATGAACAGCTTACTTTGAGTAATAGACAGTTTTTAATTTCTGCCAGTCAAACAAAGGTGCAAGTGGACATCAGCTGCCAGCAACGTGTCAGAATCCTTGCAGCACTGCTGCCAGTGACCCAGGTTCCCACAGCCATATGCTTCATAGCTTACGAAGAAACTCTCTGTACCTCATCTCATGGGAGCCTCACAGAAACCCTATGATAGATCTATCACTGTTAGCATTTTCACCTTCTAGAAACTGAAGAAACCAAAAGGCTAATTGAATTGTAGGATAAATCAGAACTAGGACTGGAACCACATCTTTTTACAAGATTTGCAAAAGCCCATCATTGTCTTAACTACATCTTAATGTCTTTCTATTTGCAGCTCTCCATCTGGTACTTTCTTTTCCTGAGCTAATCACTTACACCAGCACCTTGTTTTTTAAACTTGCCTTCTAATGTTAAAGTTCTCGACCTCTTTCTTCAATAATTAAATATGACTAAGACACTCTAGAGTTTCACCAAATGTCCATGGGTTTCAATGATCTCAGCCTGTTTACATACTTTCTTTACAGCTTTTTCATATAGTAGCAGAAAAAGTAAGTTGACTTTTTCATTGATGTTAGGAAATATAAGGACATCAAGGCAAACGCTCCACCACCAATCCTACCCCCCAGCTCCAAATTCACCAAACTGCACAACAATCGTGTTGCCTCTCCTGGGGCCCAGAGTTTTGTTAGTGGTTTAGGTGAAGGCGAAGGATTTACTATAGTTTTGTCTTAGCATCTAGCACATTGCCTTGCATTTGGCTTTCAATTGATTTGTTTAATTTTACCTAAACCCTTACATTATCTGGTTCCAGCCTGTGTCTCTGCTGAGGTAAAAAGCACAATTATACTCAAATTGGTCAAAATAGTAATTAAAAAGAGCTATCTTTAATGATTATTTACATGGAGACTCATGCTTTTTTCTGTCATACTTAAAAACTTTATGCCATATTATTATAGATTTTATTGCAAATGTTCACTCTCAATGGGAGACTCACTTTTGAGAGAATTAATTCATACTCTCCAGTTCCTTTTCTGAGAAATATTTTTTGTCCTTCCTACTAGTTTATCCAAAAGAGAAAATAATGTTTTATGCTAACCAAAAATGAAGGCTACTATGTAAACAATGAGCATAGTGCTTTTTCTTGCATAATTGCACTGAGTTCTCCTCATTGACCCTGAGAAGTAGGTCATGTTATCCTAATTTTACAGATGAGCAAACAGACTCAAGCGGGGCAGTCACCTGACGTGTACACATCTACACCAAGAAGTGGCAGAGCAGGTGTTTTGGAATCTTTTCATAGCATCGCAGTCTCTACAGAGATGAAAGGTGGAGGGAGAACAATCATTTTATAGACAAACCTTGCAGGAGCTTCTTCATGGTCATGGTGTCCACTGTTTATGCTGTTGAAAGAGCAGCAACCACCTTCATAAGGCGTCTGGCTTTATGGCCCATGGAAATGGACTGGACTGTTTAGTTCAGAAAAAAAAGCACTCAAAGGTTGTGGGTGAATTTGGGAGGTACACTGAGGAACCAGCTTTCATATGCAGTAGCACAGCTGTGGAGAGTAATTTAACTAAATGTCTTAATGATTAAATACATATATTTATGAATATAAATATACACACATGCATTCATGTATGTCCACACATATATAGTCCTTAGATGTTTTAGGATGAGGCTGAAGCTCAATTCAACTCAGCAAATATTGTGTGTGTGTGTGTGTGTGTGTGTGTGTGCGCGTGCACAAACTTACTAGGTGCCAAATACTCTTAGGAGAACCCAAAGATGAGCAAGATGTGATTTCTGCCCTGCCGGAACTCAAGATCTAGTGAAGAGAATTGAGGTTGATTAATAGCTTCAATATAAGACGAAATGCAGATTTGTTTTTCTTCTCATTTCTTAGTTGATGATCTTTACCAGGATTTTATCCTCAGCCATTCCCATTTCATACTTTTTTCTTACCCTCAGGAAACCATCTATATTCTTTATTTTTACCACCAATAATGACGTAGCTCCAGAGGTTTATCTCTCCTGGGTGCTAATCTCCTATTGATAGCTGTCTTCCGTGCATTTCTGACAGTGTTCCTTCAGTATTTTAAATGCTACCTAGACAAATGCATTCCTCCTTTTTGTATTCTTTGTTTAGTTTGATGGCATCACTGTGCATCAGTTTTCTAAACTAGAGGTGTCAAATGCATCATTCACCCATCCACCAGCTTCCCGTTGATCGTGTTCAATCGTTCCTCAAGTCCTGTGCGCGTTGTCTTCTAAACAAACCTTAAATGTGATCTTGCATCTCTGTCTTCACAGCTGCAGGTTCAGTTCAGCTGCGTTTCATCTCTCACCTGGACGACTGCAATCATCCAATGTTTGTCTTAGCCTTTTATTTCATTCCCTTCAAAGTCATTTTTAATACAGTTGGCTGGTTAATCTTTCTAAAATATAACTGATAAGATTTTTTTTTACTTGTTAAATGCTTTCACTTCTTCCCTTCTGCCCCCTGGAATAGGCTCAGATCACTCTCCGAGCCCTGCTCATCTGTTACTGACCTGTGCTGTCCTGCCCCTCCGCTTTTGCCAAGGGCGCCTGACTTTGCTTCTGGGCTAGTATTCAGTTGTTATGTATAAATAAAACCATTGTCGATTCTGATTGCTCAATACTTATTCCATACTGATTAAGTATTTTGAATATCACCCTTTTTTTAGTAGTACCGAACTGTCTTCCTCCCCAGTCATGCACATATTTTTATGCTTCTGTGCACTTTGAATAATCAGTTTCATCCACCAGGAACATTATTCTTTTTTTTCTTTACCTGGAAAATTAATATTAATCCTTTGAGATCCTGCCCAAATATTACCTGCCCTCCCTCCACACAGGCAAAATTTTTCTTCCCTCCCTGTGATATTTTGATTATAGCACTTATCATGTTATATTGCAAATATCACTTACTGACCTAGAGGATTTTTAAGAAAAAAAATATTTATTAAATCTCCAACATGTAGCTTAGTATTTGGTATACAGCAAAGGCTCTCATGAAACATTTGTTGAATTGATAGCTAGATCTAGAGAAGTTTTATGGAATGGAATTCAAGATTGATTTTGAAGACTAGGGTGAGGATTGAGGCTGGAAGGCCATTCCAGGATGGCAGACTGCATGTAACAAGGGGCAGAAAGGTCAGTGTATTATGGAACAATGAGCCTAAGATTAAGATGCAATGGGTCATAGGTAGTAGTTTAAGGTAAGTAGGTTGAGGGCCAGGCGTGGTGGCTCACACCTGTAATCCCAGCACTTTGGGAGGCCGAGGCAGGCGGATCACGAGGTCAAGAGATTTAGATATCCTGGCCAACATGGTGAAACCCCATCTCTAGTAAAAATACAAAAATTAGCTGGTTGTGGTGGCAGGTGCCTGTAGTCCCAGCTACTCAAGAGGCTGAGCCAAGAGAATCACTTGAGTTCGGAGGTGGCGGTTGTAGTGAGCTGAGATCGTACTACAGCTGGGCAACAGAGTAAGACTCTGTCTCAAAAAAAAAAAAAAACATAAATAGGTTGAGATCAAAGAGTGGAGTGCTCCAATAACCATATTAAGAAGTTTAGACCATATCCTATGCATGAGAAGGAACATGGAGTGAACCTGGAGTGACATTTTCCTCTATGTTTCAGCAAACATCTCTAAGAGCACTGTGCTAGGTTCGCTGAAGACTGGGAGCCTGCAGGTGGCCACAGTCTAAGAAGGGTCAGATGAAAAAGACTCCATCTAAATCTATGAGAGTGCAGAGGTGGAAATAAAAATGAAATCCTTTTTGGAGGCAGAATTAGCAAGATTTTGTAATTAGTAAAATGTATGACTAAAGGAAGAGTGAGAAATCAATTATAATTATAATATTTCAAAATTAAATGACTAAGAGACCAGAGCTGGTACATCATGGGATGATTCACAGTGGTTATGTTTGATGAATTAAAACAAGACAGAGGAACATAGATGCTACCAGCTATAGACATGTACTTCTACCATCCTCAGAGTCTTGAGGAAAAGTTTACCTCATATGTTTTCTTTGTATTTTTCTATGTTTAATTTCCAAGTGTAGTTACAAACCTCACTGGAAAATTCAGAAGCAATGCTGGTAAGTGCCACCAGTCACTATTGTATGGACTTATTAAAGATAATTCAACTAATAGAGACAGTTATAAATGTTCCTTTTTTTATGGAGTTGGGAGCACAAATGTTATCTCTCAAACATTCGTTATCAAAACAACTTATCCGTCAGAAAATACATTATTTGTGTATTATTGGCTACACCAAAACATCATTAACTTAAAACACAAGAGAGAAAATACTTACTCAATTAACAGGGTTTGAGTTGCTCATGTGGACGAATATGGTAACCATAAGCCACATGTAGCTGATGAGCGGTTGAAAGTGGCTAGTCCAAACTGAGATGTGCTGTAATATAAATGCACATCAGATTTTGAAGACTTGGTACAAACATGAAATGATATCTTATATCATATATCTTATTAATAATTGGTTAGTTCCTTTACATGTTAAAATGATAATCCTTTGAATATACTGGTTAAATGAAATACATTATCAGAGTCAATTCCACCTGCTTCATTTTACTTTTTTACTTTTTAAATGTGGCTCCTAGGAACATTTAGAATTCCATATGTTGTTCACATTATATTTCTACTGGACAGTGCTGGAATGGTGTTCTTATTTAGCAACCAGCCAACAGACATCTTTTTAGTTCTTATGTACGGATGAGTGAGCCTTGAAGTTAAGTGAGAAGTTGCAGTTGCATAACATGATGTATTTTTAGGGCTTGATGACATTTCAGTCAATATACAAAACATTGCTTAAAAAAGCAGATAGAAAGGTCTGTGGATTTGATGTCTCCCCTTTCAAACATTAGTTCTGTTTTTCACACTGTTTCACCTATATGCTATTAGGTGATTTATAATGATCTGTTAAATCTTCTGTTTGTTATAAAACAGTGAAGAATTTGATTTACAAGTTCCCTTTGGTTAGTGGAAAAGAACTGGCACATATCCACATATGGGTGGCCAGGATGCAGAGAGGCCTGGGATATAATCACTATGCTGAGTCTTCAAACTATATACTCAACATACCTTATTCTATATGCTCAATATACCCTATTCTATATACTAAACGTACCTTATTCTATATACTAAACGTACCTTATTCTATATACTAAACGTACCTTATTCTATATACTCAACATACCTTATTCTATATACTCAATATACCCTATTCTATATACTAAACATACCTTATTCTATATACTAAACGTACCTTATTCTTTCTCTGAAAAGCCAGAACATACTTCTCAGTGTATAGGCCTTGGAGTCCTCCAGAATATTATTTATTATCAACAGCACAGAAGAAAGAGAAGAAAAAGGAGAGGGAGAGGAAGGAGGAGAAGGGAGAAGAACAAGAAAGAAAAGGAGGAGGAGGAGAAGGGGAAGTAGGAGAACAAGGAGAAGGAGGAGGAGAAAGGGAAGGAGGAGGAGATTATTTGCAGTTTATAAATATTGATGTTTTGGATTGAAAGAGATTTTCTACGTGTTGAAGGCATTACTTATGTTATATTTGCACTATTCTTTCAGATAGCCATGTGAATATCTGTGATTGTACAGAATTGACTATTTTTAAGTAAAATGACTTGTCATTGGATAATGTTTTAATTTCAATTTTTTGAGCAAGGCACTTGATTTTTTTATGCCTTAGTTCCTTCAATCTTCAAATAGGATAGATTTTTATTTTGTTTTGTTCCTAAGGTAATGAGAAGTAAATGCTTTGCTTTTTAAAAGGCTAAGTCTCTAATTACAATGAAAAGTGCTGCAGTGCTACAACAATATCCTGGCTAGATCATAAGTGGCAAAACAACAATGTAATAGAGAAGATGCAAAGCATTCTTTGAAAATGGTGACTTTGTTTTAAAAGAATTTTTATTGAGCTAGAGTAGTGCCTATGAAAATAAATACGGAGTGGAAAACTATTCCTGGGTACTCAGAAAGTATTTATGAATGCCAAGATACGAATGTAGTTTAGCCTTGCAATTCTCAATTAATAGCCTGCCTAGGAACATCTCTTACTTAAAAAGGGCTGCCTGAATTAAGGTTAAGTTATGTTTGGTTTCCCAAGTGCCAGTCAGGATGTGTTTTTATATTCTGATTACTGAAAATCATTTTATTTCCTTTTTAAAAAGGAAATTTGCATCAGTTGCTGAATAGCCCACATCATGGACTCAAACGCTCTGCAATATGTACAAACAAAGCAAAAAGAGGAAAATGGCTAACTTTTCAAATGAATACTGTGAACTGAATTATTCAAGGTTAGGCTGCGTATTCAAAGATGAGTTATGCATTTTGACAAAACGTTGTTAACATTTCTGTTGACTGTGAATAAGTATTAATAATACACAGATTATACCCTAAGGTGCAGCCTGATTTCTGGCTGCAAAATATGCCAAATGTACCGTTGTCTCTATGTATTCAGAGTGGTACATATTTTTGAGTCTGCACTGAAATATATGCTACTAGTCTCAGTATCTACTCAGTCTCAAAAGAAAGTATCTGTGTAAATGGATTTTTAAAAAAATAACTTATGTGTTTTAAAATACCAGTGACACTTAAAACATTTTGTTTTTTTATTAAAATCTTTAAAATAAGAGGAATTAAGGCATTAAAACCTAAATCAAAAACCCAAAAAACAAAAGCATCTTATTCACTGAAGCAAAGACACATGAAATACTTTCTGCTGGGTCAAGCCATCTTTCTGAATTACGGTAGTAGATGGTCTCCACATAAGGAGGAGCAATGTTGGCAGCCAAATAGCTCAGGGATATGCAGCAATCTTCAGCTCCATGTATTTATTTTGAGCTGAACCTTTGGTCATTGATTCAATACTTGTTTATTGAGTTCCTTTTATGCATCAGGCCTTCGCAAAATAGACATGACTACACGCTCATGGTACTTACAAACTATTGGGGGTTGGAGGAGGGGATTAACAAATAGTGACTAGACAATTGTGCAAATAAGTACAGCGGTAAGAAGTGGTGGTTAAGAGTACCCACTCTGAACCTGGGCTTGGTTTGCATCTTGGCTCTACCACTTGCTAGCTGCAGAATCTTAGGCAGGTTATTTGATATGCCTCAGTGTCTTCCTCCACAAGGTTGCCGTGAGGTTTCTGTTAAAACATATAGTAGTCTAGCACATAATAAAGTTTATATATTTGCTATTATCATTCTTTTTCTTACACTGTAATAAGGGCTATGAGAGTATATAGCAGCAGGTGACTTTGTCCGGAACTGGGTGTGGGAGTTTGGAGAAAGCTTTCCTAAGGAAAAGATGTTTGAATTAGGATCTTAAGAATGGGTAGAACATAAATAGATTGAGAAGACTTCAGGGGGTGAAGGGAGTGGAATTGAAGTTTTAAAGAACTTTCCACGCAGTGAAAATAACATGTGTGAAGACTCTGAGGCAAGTGGGAACATGGTAATTAAAGAGCCCCCAAAGCAGCCCAGGGTAGCTGGAGGGAGGAAGGGAGTTGGGAACCAGGAGAGAAGGGTGATGATCTTTTGCTTACAGAAGGAAATCAAGTTTGGCTTCTCCCCACACCCCCACCTTCTGTCTCTCTCACTCTCCTCTCTCTCACAAGGGAGGGAGAGGACATTTTCTGTCTTCTCTGCTCAGCCTTGAAATTAAAAATAATTTACAAGTGGCTCTACATATATAACCAAAACACAACATTCTGTCTAAATATTAGATACGAATTAAATTGCCTCTTGGTATTCAACTTATTTTTTTATATGCATTATAATCCTCTGTGTTTATGCTCCACAGCCAGAGTGCTGCAACTAGCTGGAAGGTTCTTTTTTTCTTTTCTTTTTTTTTAGAATACTCAATACAAAAGAGGTGGGATGGATGGGTACTAATTAAACCTAAGTAATACGAGACTTAAGGAAAAAGAGATTTCTGTATTTCTCCTAATGGGATGAATGTCATGTTCCAATTCCTACTTTATGTAAAATCCATTGTACAATATGTAAAATAATTCTCCAAATCTTGATTTCCTCAATTGAAAATGACCCTGAGCATAAACTATAAGTAGAGGAAGGTTTGAATTTCTTGATCTTTGGCACTCTTTTGTTCTCTCGGTACGTGGAGTCTTAAATCAGCAGAATAATTTAGGAATGGTAGATATTGAAACAACTAATTTTTCTTTTCTGTAATCTGCATAGACTTCAAAATGCCTACAAAGCACAAAGTGCCAGTTCATATAATTTGTTGGCAAGGATAAAAAGAAGAAAGGAAATTATTTCCTAAGCGTGTGAATCAGCCCAGCTTTAACAGATATTTTTCTGTCATGTGCAGCCTGAGGGCTTATGCCTATCTGAGCTTTATTTGACAATTACCACTTGCCAGCATAATTAAATGATAATTTATAAATACTAAGAAAGCATAATGGGGAAGAGCAAATAGGTGCTTATCAGGGCATTGAATAAAGTTGATCTGCTTCAGTGGCAATTTTCATCTCTTATCTTGGTTGTTAACTGGTCTCACTTTGTATGCGTGTTTTGTTTAGGTTTGGTATTTGTTAGGGTGATACTATCTACCTCATATACACCTTTTCACTCCATACAAAATTCTAGTATTTCTTTTGGTATTTATTTTGCAACCAATGTATTTATTAAATATTGCTTATATTTTAATTCATGATGTAAATTTAGCATCTAGAATTGCATATATTACTAGACAAAACCCCGAATAATTTAGTAATTTTTCTGTTTCTCCCTCCTCACCCCTTTTTCAGTGAATAAGGTCTTTTCTGTGTTGTGTGTGTTATTTTCTTTTAATCAGGTTTTTAATCACCTGGGCTTTGCAGTTAATTACATTCCACAGAGTCTCTTCATCTATTTCCTAGAATGCTGGCAGATTTTTTATAAGTAAGACAGAAAGCACACATGTAAGCCGTGGACTCCGGCAAGGAGGGCTTCCTAATCTTGCAGTGATAAGAATGATACTTTATATGCAGCATGGACATTTGTTATGTTCCTACTGAATATAGAAATTACCCAAAGAAGAATTCTGTAGGGCAGACAGCTTTTGTCCTATCAGTATGTCTTCTCAAGTTTTCTTACCTATTATAAATATTAGGGCAATCTCTGCAGAAGCTGTGGTGGGGCCTTGGACAGAAACACAGATTTGTCCCGGGTAACCTAGATAAAGCAGTGCGAGAGCAATCGTCTATTTGAATGGAAACAATCAGTAGAATGACAGAAAAAAAAAAAAAGAATTTCCATGCCTTTAGAAAAGCAGGTTTGAAGAAGGCAAATGGGGGAAGAAAGCAAGACACAGTAGCGGGTCATGAAGGGACTAAGGTCTCTCTCTGTCTTTTTTTTTTTTTCCAGCCATTATAAAATTAAATAATTTTAGTAACTACTGATTAGGATTGTGGTGGTTTGATTGAAGAGTGTGCGAATGTCTTATCAGGAGAATAACAAAATAAAGGGCTTTGGTGTTTAAAGTTGTCAATTCCTCAAATTATTCAGCATTTTGTTCTTATAAATAGCAATTATTTGCCATTTCAGAGCTGAAAAATTATCTTTCATATTCAAATATTTAAATATACAGTGCCGTTACTGGGGCAAAAAAAAAAAATCCTAATGTCGGAACAAATTTTTATACAAGGAATAATTTGAAAGTGGTGGATTAGTTTCCACCTTTTGAAACACAGTGCTTTCTGTAATCTTCAAACATTATTTAGGATAATGGAAGCCATCATCCTGGTTCTCAAATGTTAGCACTTCCATTAGAATTTGCAGCTACCTCTTATTTTTTATATTAAAATACAAGGCTTAAAAGGTATTATCTTACTAAAGGGGGGCAATTGTAGAGATGATTTGATTGAATAAAGGAAAAAGCTGTACAGGCCTTTTAAGATCAAGGATGTATTGATGGAAAGCTATCATTAGAGACAATTAATGTTCTCCAAGGGAAGAAATTGATTATGGACAAAGATGGACCCTAAGGAGCAGATATGTCTTAATGCCCTAAGGCCTTAAGGATTATACTTCTCATTCACAGCATCTGTATTTTAACCCTTTGTTGCAAATAGAATACTAGCTTATTCTTGCAGAGTGACATGAATTAAATTTATAAAAAAGGATTGTGCCTTGTAAAGGTCGCTCCTAGTGATTGACTTTTGCTTCTTTAAACAATATTAAAATAATTAAATTCATGGTATCTTTTCTCTATAGTGCCCTTTAGAGTAGATCTAGACATAAATTTATAGAAGAAATAAAATTAGATTATGATGGCCAGTCTTCAGCATTATGGGAGTGCAGTAACGCCCAATAATTATGGCTAAAGATGTGCTTTCATTAGGAGCCCCTGAACTTCAGCTGCATTTATGTTTCCAAATAACATACCCCTTTAACTTTGCTTGTCCTTCCTATAGATCGTGTACAAAGCATTCATCATGTTGTTAGCCAGTCCCGAGCAGCCGCAGATCACAATTCGGTGCTTAATAAGGTGGCAACCCTACTGGGAACATTTCACATAATTATTCTTAGCAGAAAGATGATTGTTATGGCTTTTTTTTTTTTCCTTTTTGAGTCTGGCAAAATTCCAGGTGATTTAGTATGAGCTCCTAAAAACCTGTTACATATCATTGGTGAATTATACTTCCTGTATATTCTGCATCCCCACGTCCCTGCCATGTATATGGAGAGAGTTTCATTGTTCAGTTGGTCTCCTGTACCAGCTAGGCCCAGAACCAGGCCCAGAACCAGAGAGTGATGAAAAGTGTTTTTTGGCCATAGGCTTCAGAGCATGTCAGTCTGAGCATGGGAGTACTTTTTGAAATCAATCCCTCCCAAGACCATTGCACTATCTCTGTGCATGGTTTATTATGATTATCACTAAATACACAGGAAAAACTCACACATGGAGTAATAAGTAACTTATCCAGAGAGCTCTGTGATGTTAAGTGTCAGTTAAAGAAAGGGAGTTTAGACACATGGCCCTAACTTTGAGCTTGTAAGTTGAGAAATAACTGGCATTTGGTTAGCCCAGATCATTAAAGCAGTTTAGACTTCAAGATAATTCTCCCAGGTGCTTGGCCAACTAGTGTCTCATCTCACATGCAAAGACAAACATCTTCACATGTGAGAAGAGAGTTTCCTAGATGGTTCTTCTTAACGGGAAAAATGGAGAACAGGATATTCATAATTTTTCTTTGATTTAGACCTTGGAATACAACTTACAAGGGGTCTGAAGAACCTCTTCAAGGAGAACTACAAACCAATGCTCAAGAAAATAAGAGAGGACACAAACAAACAGAAAAACATTCCATGCTCATGGATAGGAAGAATCAATATTGTGAAAATGGCCATGATCCCCAAAGTAATCTATAGATTCAATGCTATCCCCATCAAGCTACCACTGACATTCTTCACAGAATTAGAAAAAACTACGTTAAATTTCATAGGGAACCAAAAAAGATCCTGTATAGCCAAGACAATCCTAAGCAAAAAGAACAAAGCTGGAGGTATCATGCTACCTGACTTCAAACTGTACCACAAGGCTACAGTAATCAAAACAGCATGGTACTAGTATCAAAACAGACATATAGACAAATGGAACAGAACAGAGGCCTCGGAAATAACACCACACTTCTACAACCATCTGATCTTTGACAAACCAGACAAAAACAAGCAATGGGGAAAGGATTCTCTACTTAATAAACAGTGTTGGGAAAACTGGCTAGCCGTATGCAGAAAACTAAAACTGGACCCCTTCCTTACACCTAATACAAAAATTAACTTGAGATGGATTAAAGATTTAAATGTAAGACCTAAAACCATAAAACCCTAGAAGAAAACCCAGGCAATACCATTCAGCACATAGGCATGGGCAAAGGCTTCATGACTAAAACACCAAAAGCAATGGCAACAAAAGCCAAAATTGACAAATGGGATCTAATTAAACTAAAGAGCTTCTGCACAGCTAAAGAAACTATCATCAATGTGAACAGGCAACCTGCAGAACGGGAGAAAAACTTTTCAATCTATCCATCTGACAAAGGGCTAATATCTAGAATCTACGAGGAACTTAAACAAATTTACAAGAAAAATCAACCCCATCAAAAAGTGAGCGAAGGATATGAACAGACACTTTTCAAAAGAAGACATTTGTGTGGCCAACAAACATGAAAAAAAGTTAATTGTCTCTGATGATTAGAGAAATGCAAATGAAAACCACAATGAGACACCATCTCGTGCCAGTTAGAACAGCGATCATTAAAAAGTCCAGACACAACAGATGCTGGAGAGGATGTGGAGAAATAGGAATGCTTTTACACTGTTGGTGGGAGTGTAAATTAGTTCAACCATTGTGGAAGGCAGTGTGGTGATTCCTCAAGGATCTAGAAGTAGAAATACCATTAGACCAAGCAATCCCATTACTGGGTATATAACCCTAAAGGATTATAAATCATTCTACTATAAAGACACATGCACACATATGTTTACTGCAGCACTATTCAAAATAGCAAAGACTTAGAACCAACCCAAATGCCCATCAATGATAGACGGGATAAAGAAAATGTGGCGCATATACACCATGGAATACTACATAGCCATAATAAAGAATGGGTTCATGTCCTTTGTAGGGACATGGAAGAAGCTGGAAACCATCATTCTCAGCAAACTAGCACAGGAACAGAAAATCAAACACCGCATATTCTTACTCCTAAGTGGGAGTTGAGCAATGAGAACATATGGGCACAGGGCGGGAAACATCACACACCAGGACCTGTTGGGGGATGGGGGACTAAAAGAGGGAAAGCATTAGGACAAATACCTAATGTAAATGATGGGTTGGTGGGTGCAGCAAACCACCGTGGCACGTGTATACCTGTGTAACAAACCTGCATGTTCTGCACATGGATCCCAGAACTTAAAGTATAATTAAAAAAACAAAAGAAAAGAAAGATTATGGCTAATTTTTTATTTTATTTTGAAATTTTCATTTCCCATTCATTTTCCTTTTTGGGGAAGAGCAGAGGTGTTATCTATGATTTTCATTGGCCACATTGCTACTGAGAAATGACATTAGGGCCCTTGTAGAGAAGGAGTGTAGCTTGTGAAATGAGTGAGTATGGAGTAAAAATAGCTAAATAGGGGCTCCAGCTAACTACCTGCCTCTGAGGTTTTGAACCCTGATGCCTAGGGAGATGGTGGTGCCATTAACAAAAATAAATAAGGAAGGAGAATGAGCTAGGGAGAGGCATATGGAGCTTTTGAGGTTCTGGTCAAACCCAGGCAGAAATGCCCAGCAGGTAATTGGAAATGAAGGTCTGGAGTTTAGGAGAGAGGGCAAAGTTTGTAATACTGGGTTGGAGATCTAAAAAAGAATTGGTGGCCGGGCGCGGTGGCTCACGCCTGTAATCCCAGCAGTTTGGGAGGCCGAGGCGGGTGGATCACGAGGTCAACAGATCGAGACCATCCTGGTCAACACGGTGAAACCCTGTCTCTACTAAAAGTACAAAAAATCAGCTGGGCATGGTGGCGCATACCTGTAATCCCAGCTACTCAGGAGGCTGAGGCAGGAGAATTGCCTGAACCCAGGAGGCGGAGGTTGCGGTGAGCCGAGATCGCGCCATTGCACTCCAGCCTGGGCAACAAGAGCGAAACTCCATCTCAAAAAAAAAAAAAAAAGAATTGGAACGTTGGAAAAAGAATAGGATAATGCTGTGACAGGTACGTGCAGACAGAAGAAACTTTCAGGGAGTGTAGTCAGTTGCCTCTGATGACCCAGGGAGATCAACAAGAGTAAGAATCTAGAAACAAGCCCACTGGGTTTGATCATTGATAGCTCATTGTCAGCTGAAAAGTCTAATCTGCTTGAGTTTAAGTTCCAATTACTCAATTAATAGGGGCATGTGTATCCTTGAGAAAGTTAATTAATCTCTCTGGGCCTAAGCGGATTCACTTATAATTTAAGAATACCTCAATGTACCCCTTAAATTTGTTTTGAGGATTAAATGAGATAGTCCATGTAAAATGCCTAGTTTACTAGGTACCTGTGTTACAGTAGGGGCCATAACCAGGTAACTGGGGTCAAGACATGACGAAGGGCTAGGAAGTAGAAGATTATAAACAACTATTTGGAAGTAGGGAGGTGAATGGTTAAACAATTTATGGAGGAACCAGAGATCTGAGCAGCTTAAAGGCTAAAATAAAGAAAGCACCAGGGACATACTCTGTACCCTTTCTATAAATTAACTCATTTTGCCTCTTACAATGAGCTTGAGGGATGATAATATCATTGGAACAAAACCGAGGTGTATAGAAGTAACCTCCTTCAAACATATAGCCAATAAATGGCTGGGCAGGAACTGGCACCAAGGAATGTCTAACTCATAAGCTTCCTTTCTGTTTCATAGACCAGTAGACACAGATAAATTAAACAAATTATTTAAAGTAAGGGACAAAGTCATGATCTGAACCCATGCCCATCTGATTCTTAATTATCTACTTAATAGATTACCCTCCTTTCCAGTCCCTTTCTATAGAAGCATAGAGGGGAGACAGTTTACAAGGATCAGGAATTTGGTCCACCAATTTCAGGTGGCCCCACTTAGTGACCAGTGACCTCTGTAGCTGGACCATGCTGGAAAAACTGACTGGAGACTGTCAGAACTAGGGTGTCAGAGTCTGGGAGACATGTGTATTCCTCCTCAGTAACACCCGTGAAATGTGCCCTAACAAGATCCTACACACTTGGGTGTTGTAGAGTGAGGATGAGGGTGGAAGAATGAGAATGAACCTCAGGCTATGGGCGAGCCATCAGAATGTAGCTGTTACATCTGTGCTGAGGCTGCTACCTGCGGAATAAAAAGATAAAAACTCAGCCAGATGCAGCACAAATGGGCCTTCTGTGTTTGTGCCTTTCCAGAATTTGGCAAAATCAGCTTGTCTTTGCTTTAACCTGAGTATCTCTGGACTGTCCTGGAGACTGATTACTACAGAGCAGTGGTTCTCAAGAGTATCTTCTCTGGACCAGCATCACCTGGGAACTTGTTAAAAATGAAGACTTTCTGCTCCACCCCAGACCTGCTAACTCAAACTCTGGGGGTGGGACCTGCCAGTCTGTGTTTTAATAAGACCTCCAGGTGAGATTCTCATGCATGCTGCAGTTTGAGAACCACTGTCTGAATCTAATTTTGCTTCCAAGTTCTTTTGGTGACTAACTACTGCCAAGTGGCCAGATAGATCTGGTTGTGGTCTAGTAACTGTGGTTCTCAGTCTCGACTGCCATCAGAATCAAATTAAAAGATTTAGTTCACTGAAAACTGGGTGCCACTCCCAGAAATTCTTCTTTAATTGAGCTGGGGTGTGGCCCAAGCATTGAGATTTCTAAATCTCCCCCCCAACCCCACCATGCCCTCTCCCCCACCCCTCAGAGATTTTAACACACTGGTTTAGAACAGTGTTTCCCAAACTTCAGTACAAATCAGAATCTCACGTGGAGAGCCAGTTAAAAGGCACATTGTTGGATCCCACCCTCAGGGTTTCTAATTCAGTAGCTTTGAGGTGAGGCCCAAGAATTTGTATTTCCAGCTAAGTTTCCAAGTGATATGATGCTGCTAGCTTGGGGGTCAGACTGTGAGAACTGCGGTGTGGAAGTTAGATATTCATTTTTGGAGGTGTGGTGAACTGAGCTGATAATTTCCATTGCAAAGCTCCAATTTCTGTTTCAGGCCTAGGTGAGGGTTTTTGCCAGAGAGTCCTGACGATGCCTCTGTTTACATATCTCATTGGCGAGAGAGACTTGGTCTGGAAATACATGTGGTTGTGCAATGCTTCTCAAACATTAATTAGTGTACAGATCACCCGGGGATCTTGCTAATGTAGGTTCTGATTCAGTGGGTTTGGGGCTGAGCCTGGGGGTCCACATTTCTCACAAGCTCCCCGACAGTGCCAATGCTGCCAGTGTGTTGACCATGCTGAGTACCAAGGCACCTATGAGAGTGTTTCTTAAATTTTTCTGATCATCAGATCCACATGAAGTGCTTTTACTAGAGAGGTTTGGCTTCCCCTATGACCTACTGAATCAAAATGCCCAGAGAAAACAGCCTACATATATGTATTTTTAAGTGACTTATTAATTTATTCAACAAATATTGATTGAACATGTACTTTGTGTCAGGCTCCATGTTAGAGGTGAACAAAGTAGGTGCATAGTCCTTTATCTATGGCTTACATTTTAGTCAGAGAGACAATCACTTTCAGTAGCTACAACCCACCTCAAGGTCCACAAACCTTGGCCAAGTGTCTGAGTTCTTGGGTGAAGCAGCATGGCACACGGTGTTCAAGAAACGGCTTTGACAGAGGAACCATCCCAGTCACAGCTTGTTTATGTGAAGGTCTTGTGTAAGGAGAAGCAAGGGCTCTGGGGATGGACTGAGCTTGGCCGATTGCCTGCAGGTAGGGGAGGGATGAGGATCAAAGGTAGGGCGATTGAGTGCCCAGCTGATTTTGATACTTCGTCACATTTGGGGAACACTTCAAAACTCTTTCTTACCAGCTGTCAGGAGAACTGAGTCCTACCCATTTTGAAAACATCATCAATCACCCCATCATTGTTCTCCAGGGGAAGAATGTAGATGCTGTTACACAGTCCCCTAATGGCCAATAAAAATAAATTGTCTCTGAAATTCATAGGGATAAAATTACAATGATTTCTTGCTAACTATTTAACTATGCAGTAGTGATCTTGTACATAGTCAGGAAGTAACAAAAGGATGAAAGAACTGTATTCCACTTAGAGAAGGTTTCTACAACTTTGAGGTTTATATGGCATAATACATACTCTTTGGAGGGTTTGTATGATTTCTCCAGAAAGCCCAAATGCATGAATAAAAGGAACAAGAGAAACAACAAAGAGCCAAGAAAAAAATAAAAAACAAAAACCAAGGAAGGGATACATGGGGTTTTCTGAGGGAGGAAGTAAGTTCAAGTGTTTTTGGCATTAAGTTACAAATTTATTTTATGACTGCTATTTGCATAGATAATAATTTTAAGAGATTACTTAAAAAATATATATATATATATATATATATATATATATCTGCTGCATTTAAAACTACCTAAGTGGCAGAAGAAAAATAAACAAGAAAACATCTTTGGGCAGAGGCAGCTTTCACCTGTATTAATTTTTTTTCAAGCTGTGTGCACTCCTTAATCACCAGTTTTTAAAAACCATTTAAGATTGGTAACATATGTTGTTGTCAGCATGTGTTTAGCACCTGCAGAAATGAACCTGAAAAATGTGACAGCGCATAGGTGGAACATCCACCGCATTGACTGGGAACACTGTCAACAAACTTTAATTTGTTAATTTTTTTCTTACTAAGAAAAAAACTAAGAAAAAAATTTAATAGCCCAGGTGTTCAGAGCAAAACAGCAAGTTGATATAATGAAGGGGAGGCTGCAAACCTTTAGCATGAGAGTCAGGCTCTAGATCTGCACATCCTCATGCTTTGCCTCACATACTTCACTCTTCTTTTCTTTTCTTTTTTTTTCTGAAATCCCCTCTGCATGTTGGAACTGTCAGGCTTGGTTGCCCTGCAGAGGATTTCCTCTCAGAAGTAACGGTGAGAAGCAGCTCAGGTTCACTGAGTGGAGATCAGCTGACAGGCAGGACCAGGCAAACAGCACCTAAAATTACCATTTTCCAAGGTTGGAGATGGAGGCTTTTCTCCTGCACATTATTTTCTAGAATTGAAGTCCTAATCATTGTGGGTAAGAGGTTTCCTGTCAGCTGCTTCTATAGCAAAGCTTCTATGAGTGTAGGCTCTGTCTTCTGAACTCTTATTTTGGGGTACAAACAGTTTCACTTGGCTAATGGCATTCCTCACAATGCGCTGCTGTGCAGACAGCAGGCCTTACTGAATGATGCTGCAGTTGTTATGCCCTCTCTGGTCTTACTAGTTTGTTCTACTGTAAGTTACTTTCCACAATTTCCTATCATTGTTTCATTTTTCTAATTTTTAGAAACCAGTTCACTCGAAACAAGTGGGTTCTGCTCTTCATTTGAAGACACAACTTTCCAAAATGACTTTGCCAAAGTTCAAAACAAACACTGGCAGGTGTGTTAATTCCTACTTTGGGAACTTTGAAGTCAACTTGTTTCCACAGAATCTTCCCCTTTTCACACCTCTTACACTCGTTGGGAGGTCTAATTACTTCCTGTCAGTCCTCATTCTGGCAGGCTGTACAAAGAAATTCAGTGACAAAGCATTCCAGTGGCCCAAAGTATTCCCGTGACACAAAATAGAAAATTTTCAGTTAAGTTGAAGCTCATCCAGGTCTGTATTTCCTCTCCGACCCAGAAAAAGCCTCTTGATTGAGTTATGGCTCTCTGGCTGGCGTGTGTGGGAATGGTTTGCGCTTCTCACGGCTGAGAGAAGACTCTGGAAATGACGCGTTTTACACCTCTTAGATGAGATTGGGGAACTAGAAAGCACTTCACTCCCGTCCCCCTGGGATGAAGAATCTGTTTGCAGTAATCACTGGCAGTGTTGACAGAATGTTCAAAACCATCTGCTCAAGGGCAAGTGTTAACTCTATCAAATCCTCATATTTTAAGCACACTGATCCCTAAGCCCAGGAGACCTCCTGATGCAGCTCTCCTTGGGCTCCATGTCAGCCTGCCATCAGTCATTATCCCGCTGCCCAGAGGCCTGACGCGCCAGCCGGAACTCAGCGAGGACGGGCTGTTAGAGGGAGAAGCGCAGCAACAGAATGCACGTCATTCAAGTCTTGTTAGTTATGATGAATCCGAGGCTTCCTGATGCTTTAATACAAGAGTTTCTCTGCAATAATAAATACACTTTTTGTCATCAAATGTATTGTGTGTAAAAGAGCTTCTTGATTTGTTAGAATCTAGTATATATCACTTTCAGCATGGATTTGTATAAATTCATGTAGACTTACTGTGCACACATAATCACATACAGGTATGCATCCAACAAGGCATGTCTCATCATGTTAAAATCCTTTACCAACATTACTTAATAAAACATAAAATTCAGCTGAAAGATTTTTGGCACATTATTCTCAGGACAGTACAGTGCAGTACTCACCAGTCATCAGGTTGTTTAAACAGGACAGAATGTTTATTTACTGTTAACATACTTAATGGACTTTGCTAGCACAATTGCTCCAAAATATTTCAGAGTTAAAGCTGATAGAGGAGTTTGGGGAAGC